CTTTTATTTATCTCACATTGGAGAAATTCAGTGTTGTCAACAGCGGTACACACAGAAATACACACATAATAGAAGAACAAGTTGTATTGGTAATTGACAGATTTCAACCTTTAATAGCCTCTCTAGGCAAGAATGCAGCTTACTGATGCTCTATGACCTAGACATGACGAGTTTTCATATCACACATAGCTAAACATTAAGCTAAAGCCTACTTAATAAACCTAAGGCGAACTGGTAACAACTGGTTTGGTTGTGTCATTGCTTCAGTACAGAATAATTACAGAGAAAATATGTTTGCGTCACACACCCAAATCACTAATACTCTTGTACTATTGAAGTCGGATTAAAAGCAGAATCGTTCCTGACAGACTGTAAGAATACTTTACTAAAAATGTGATGTCTAGTGGTGTGTATTCCATTTATTTAATTTCTTTACAGTTAAGACACTGATAACAATTTCATGTTGGAGGACACTGACAACTTCAAGAAACCTGAACGGCTGATAGTGGCAGTTACTGTGATTAGATTGTTTTAAAGGGTGTGGAAATCATAGAAATGACTTGAAGGTATTGTCAGTACCTGCTCCTGTTTGACCTGAACTTAACCAAATAGCCTTCCAAGAGCAAACATAATGGGACTGTGGCCACAGTGCACACTTCATTCACTTCACAGTCACATGGTCATTGTTACACAATGATAGGCTTCTGCAGAGCTTGAGAATCACACATTTGAAAGAGCCAAGTTAAAAAAGTGGGTTAGAACTGATTCTGACCATGAATGACTGAGAAACGTCTGTCGTTTCCTAAAACTGCTACTTGTCCATTTTATTCTTTAGTTTAACATAAAACTCAAACATTTTTATTTGTTTGAGTAGCTTTAGCGTAATCAAAGATTGGCTAACAGTTGCTCAGATAGGCAGGTAATAAGACAAATTGGCAAAGGCCAGAGGAAAACCCATGGCTAAATGCACTCATGTAACTGGGAACTGGCATAAAAAGTGAGGTAAAACCAACTAAGACACACAGGAAAAGTAACTATTAAAATTCAAACAAATAGAGACAGATGCAGGAAATCATATAAGACATGACGAAAAGGAAAGTACACAAGAAACACATACGGAAAAACTCAAGAAAAAAAAGAAGAGATCTCATGGTGACCAAAACTGCTTCAGCTGTCCATGAATTTTAAGATCATGTTGTTGTCTTTATTCTCTATTTATTATAAAGGGAATAGTTACAAATTAATGCTTGAGATTGTTATTCCAATAAAGAATTGAGACTATTTAGATTTAATTGCTTGCCTGCACTGATTAATATGGATGATTATTACTCTATTGTATATAATCAATATATACAAATTAACTATATTTTTAGGTATTATTTAAAAAATGTAGGTTTCTGTTTGTTGTGTCAAATCATTATTTTAGTTTTGTTTTTAAATAGTTCATTTTTTTCCTAATTGAATCTACTCATTTAAACTTTAAAGGGTCTTACTTAAACAAACATAATTACATTAAATCAGTGATAGTGCTTGCAATCTGTTGCCTTGGTTATAATTAGTAGATCCTTTTTTTTTTAAATAATTATTCTGGTACAGCTATTCTATGAATCTCTTGAATTTATTATTATTTTCTGATTTCAACTGACCTGTAGCTGTTCCACAGTGCTGCCCACAGGGCCTTACAGCTCCTGTGTGTTTTGGGTTTTAACAGTTTTTAATACAAAGTCAAGAAATAACAGAAATGTATATAGTTTAATGATGAGGAAGTTCATGTGAGGTAACCATCATTACTTGTCACTTTTATTGGTGCAGTTTACTCTTATCTCAAACTGTCAGACAATAAAGATTGTACATAGCTTATTCAGTACGTTGGTGACATTGCAAATTTGCTGCAAGAAAACTCTCTTTTCGATTGTTTTTGACACACTGCTCCCATTCAGTCACTAAAATAAATAATTTCCACTGTATTGCAACTATTGGCCTGTAGCCTTCACACTTCAAAATACAGGGTTTGTTTGGAATGCATTCCAACTATATCTCTCTCTGGTGGAATAATGAAGAACTGCAGCAGCTTAACATCAGCAGGAAATCTTTTGCTGCATTTAAAATGTGTGAGTATTGAACTAATTAAATCCTTGGCAGCTTTAACTGTAGACTATAATATGAAAGGACTGTGCATCACAAATGATGAGCTTGAGAGAGGCTTTTAATTTCTTTCTTTCTTTTTTTTTTAGTTTGCATTGACCCGCAGTGACCTCAGCCTGCATTACTGGCTAACAATGGAGGGATAAAATAATGTATTCTCAAAATATACGTTTAACCTGTACAAGACAAGCTATTGATTGATGTTGTTTAAGTCTTGAATTCTGCAAATATATGAAGTACACTCTTGTGCCCCTAAAAAAAGAGAACTATAGAGCTGCTATGCAAAAACACTGCCATGTAGAAAAGCATCAAAGACTGATCCCCAACAGAATTGGAATAATATAGACCAAAGTTATTGTTCAGTCTTTAACCCGTTTTGGAGGCAAGTGACCATATTTGGTAACTTCCTTGGATGTTCAATATGTCCACCCTGTGCCTCTCTTTGAGGTTGAAGAAACATGTGCAGTTTGATTTAGTTTCTATATTAGTGCCAATACCACAACCTTATGAAAAATGTCACTTAACAAATGATTCAGGCACTTTATAAATGCTTTGTTACTGGTTTATACTGAACTCCACTTTGTTTTATTTGTTGAGATTAGTACCAGCACCACTACCCCAAGAAAAATGTCACTAAATGAACTTGCCAAGCCCTTTATAAATACGTTGTTACTGGTTGTGTAAATATCACTACCTCAAACTAAAATGTTTCTGAATAGATGTTTTCTGCAGTTTGTTACTTTTTCTTCATTTATTATGAATTCCCTTTTTAACCTTTTTTTTTAAAATCATATATAACCTTATTAATTTTGATTTGCAACATTTTTACAAAAAAAGTAAAACTATCTTGAAATATCCATTAATAACACCCTAGGATTGAAAGTTTCATTTTCCAAGTATTTCAAGGCGTGCCTTATAAAGGGTTAAGGAGCAGTACAGTGATACTTTCTTATTGCTGTGGCTCGGTATCATGCAATTTTACAAATCTACAGTTTTTTTTAACAATGAAGCACAACTTATCTGCTGATTAAGAATCGAAAACTCAAAGTAAAGCAGAAAACCTTGAGATGACATTGCTTTGTCAAATGACGAGGTTTAATTATCAACTTGTCCTCACTATCATTTAAAGGAAGGTAAATACAGACAAGAGAGTGCAGGTTAGGTCACTGATTTGGCCACTTGTACACTCCCTGACTTAGAAACATGGTTTTATGTTGAGCTTCACGAAAACTTATGGAATATCCATAAGAAGCACGACACAATCTACACTGTTTGCCAAAATAAAGATGAGAGCATCCTCAGGAGGACTACATTAAACTGATTCAAAACTCTGTGTTGTTTGTTTGCAATGACAAGTATTTAACTTTAATAAGATTCGTCAGATTTGCTGTTTTTTTGGGGGGTAATGTTTTAATTGAACAGCCTGTAAATTTACTTTGTGAGTCGCTCTCACAGCTGCAGTGTTTTCAGCAGGCAAACAAAACTAGAGATGAACGTTAGCCAAAGGCCGTGGTGGTGCTATAAGAGTGCCGGCTCTTCGTACTTTTTTTTTTTTTAGAAGTCGCGAGACAACAAACCACAGCTACAAAGGCAGTTAATATTAGACTAGTGGTCAAAAACGTGACTCAACAATAGTGTTCATGTCCATCCCTTTTGTGCTGACAACAGTTGCTGTGTTAACCTGTTAGCAGTAAAAGTTTAAAATATCTTGTGGGTTTAGTGAGAAGATATTTTACCCAGAGTAGATAAAACTATTTTAAAAAATGCTGCGTCAACACTGAAATGCAGAACTTTTAACAACACACTTGCTGTTAACTTAAAATTCAATGCTCTGCCAATGGCCGCCATTTTGGTAAAACACAGATCACTGAGCCTTAAACTTGCAGCAATAAGCTACAAGAAAAACACACGATTAAAAAAGTAGTAGTTGCAGAACTTTCTTACAGAACAGAAATATAAATTCTGGCTTCTTATATTTGGTGAAGTGTTGTGACCTTCAGTCTATAATCAACTATCTTAACTAAACTTACCACCTAGAGTACAGTTAGTGAATGTAGGCTGGAAAGGTGGCATTGAAACAGCTGTAGTCTGTTTGGGTTCAGTCAGTTCTGTTAATTCTCTGTTGAATAATTCAGCCAGTTAATATTACAATGGATTTGAAAACGGTTACAATTTTAAATGAAAGTCTATCTGAAACTAGCAGGTGCATTTTAAATAGTAAACATGAGTGAGCAGAGAAAGGCGAGGTCCTTGGCCTTCTGGTGCAACTCATGAAATCTTATCTAAGAAAACATGTTTACAGAAGTCCAAACTGAAAAATACATTATTTGGAGGGGGGGATCATGCTAAATACCTTCCACATAAGTGTTTTTATTGAATGATTATTGGAACACATTAAATGTAGACATTAATTATGTTCTTTAATTTTATTTTTTTAAATACCAAACTATATGATGTTCAATTTTGATAAAAGCACGTTTAAAAAGTGTTTTTAGGACATATTGTGTTTGAGTTATTAATTCTGTGTGTGATTATTCTTTAATTTTTTTTTTTCTGTATATTGCAGTATGAAAACATTTTTATCAGGTTCGCAGCGAAAGAATTTAAAGAATTCTGTAAAAGTTCCACTATGGACATTTTTCAGAAAGTGTCCCATTTAAACAATACTTGCCATATTTTATACTTTATTATTATTGTTGTGTGTGGTGTTACTTCAGTACCATTGTCAGTATATTTTATTTTAAAGTAGCTTACTCATATCTTATTGCTATTCTAGTAGGCATTTATTCTCATGTTAGTGTATTTTTTTATTTTTTTTTAGCAATATCTGACAAGAATTAAAGTTGTAAAGTTCTATCTTGTGTTTTTAAGAGTGTAAGCCCACAATGGTTCAAGATTGACTTGGAAAATTACCTGTAAATCTGACAAATGTCAAATCTACATTTGATGAAACAGTTTAAACGGAAGCAGAACATTATTTATCTACTGCAGCTGACCTCTGGACATACTTGTTGACTCAACACAGTCCTGTGGTCCAGCGGAAGGGGCGGGGACTCCTCTGCCACACACTTCCCAATTGAGCGCCTCTCCTCGGCTCAACTTCACCAGACGGCTCCCTGTCGACGCGTCTGGACGCCACGAAGCTCGCAGTTCCGCAAAAATGACGCTCGCAATGAAATTCTGGACTGTGGTGTTTAATGTGTTGTGTCTGCCGCTGCACGTGATGTACAGCGTGGGCCTGTACAACATATACAAACGCATCTTCCCCATGTGTTTATACCGCATCTCCAAGAACTACAACAAGAAGATGCACGACAAGAAGACGGAGCTGTTCCGCAGCCTGACCCAGTTCACAAAGCCCGGCGGCCGCCTCACGCTGCTGGAGATCGGCTGCGGCACCGGGGCCAATTTTCAGTACTACCCAGACGGATGCAAGGTGATCTGCACCGACCCCAACCCGCACTTTGAGAAATATCTGCAAAAATCCATGGCCGACAACGACCAGCTGTCATACGAGCGGTTCGTGGTGGCGACAGGGGAGGACCTGGGGTCAATCGAGGACGAGTCGGTGGACGTGGTAGCGTGCACGCTGGTGCTGTGCACCGTCAACGACATCCCGCAGACCCTGAGAGAGGTGCACCGTGTCCTGCGGCCGGTGAGTCCTCCTGACAGCCCCACATTTCATTTATTCACCATAAAACACGCTTGTTGACATCAGTGACCTGCAGATCAACTTCTGGATTAATCATTCACCACTACAAGCTAATAACCAGCCCCCTTAACGAAGAACAAGCAAATAAAGATGTAGCAGGGCCATATGAGGATCAGTATGACAGTGTAATTAATTTTATACTCTTTACATTTCATACAGCTTTGTGTTTGTGAATGAATGTAGTCCAAGTACAGGTAGATGATTAGACTGAAGGTCACAACCTGACTAATAAATTAACCAGGTCTTCCTAATGAAAACACCTGATATAACCTCACTGCAGCCATCCCAGCTAGAATTTGTATTTCTGTTTAAAAAAATAAATAAAGTAATGCTCAAGTGCTACTTTTTTTTTGGTTTTATTTTTGTTCCGTCAATGTTATTTTTAACCCTATTCACGACTTACTTTCAAACAGAAGCATCCTGCCCATCTTTCTTCTCTCTCTCTCTTTTTTTTTGTGGCTTTAACCCATCAGAGCAACTCAACACCCCCAGAAGCCTAATTTTGTTCTATTCTGAGACATTTATACTTTCATTTCAGTGTTAAAGAATTATTTGCTGAAGTGTTTCAATCCGTGTCCGCAAAGAAAGAGTGAAAATACATTCACAACATATTTAACCCACTTTTGTATTCTTTTGGACCCCAGGCCATTTGGTTTAGGTGACAGGTATTGTTTGTTTTATTTTGAAGATTGTTTTTTTTTTCATATAAAAAGAGGGACATTTGTCATGCATTTGGAACCAAAAATACATCAACTTATCAGAAAATGTATTTAACATAGCATAAAAGTCTATAATGAACACCAACAAATATTTTGTACACATTCTTCTACGTATGGCAACATGAAAGTCCTGAATAGGGTTCAAGGCAGGTTAAAAGACTATATAGACATTTTCTGAATGTTGCATTGAAAGCATTCTTTTGTTATCATGTGACATTGTGAGTTTATTGATTGTGTAATGTGTTACCTCCACAACTTCCTCAAAATATTGCAGGCTACTTTGTTAATATATCATATTACAGAAACATTTTTCTTATAAAAGAACAACATTCTGTCATCTAAGGCCTTGATAAAAATCTTCACAACATTTTCTGATTTTTTTTTAATGTTCTTGTAACATAATCTGACAACATTCTCTGACTGTCCCATAACATTGTGTCTTAATTAACTTTTTAAAGGAACATTACTTGAAATGAGAAATATCCTTAAAACAGTCTTTGAACATCAGAATGAAATGTTGTCAATATTTCACTTAAGTTGCAAGTCAGGCCTCACATACAATCGTCCTCAAATGTATTCACACCCTCCCATTAAAGAAAGAAAAAAATCACGACATTACTTTTGAATTGTGGTTTAACAGAAATATTTAAAAACAAACAAACAAGCATGATGGGACTGTAAAGTAATAATTTGTTGAGCAACCCTTTGAGCCAATCACTGCAATCAAGTGTTTTCTGTAACTCTCAGTCAGATTTCTGGACCTGTTGACAGATATTTTGATTTTGACTCACTGCTCATCAGCAAAGTGCTCTAATTTGTCTGGGACAGTTTTTTTTTATTATTATTATTCTTTTCAACCACAATTCAAAAGCAATGTCTTATTTCACAAAATTATAATTAAGCAAATTTTTATTGACTATCACTTTTTCAGTTTCTAGTTATTTGAGTGACTGTTATGATTTTTTCCTTTTCTTTAATGAAAGGGTATGAATAAATTTGAGGACAACTGTAGATATGAGGAAACTATGGAAATCCACTTCCAATATTTTGTAGTTTGCACGGTCTCCATATGACAAATGTTTTTTTTCTTGCAGGGTGGAGCCTTCTTCTTCCTGGAGCACGTGGTTGCAAACCCCTCGACCTGGGCCTTCTTCTTCCAGCACGTCCTGCAGCCTCTGTGGTACTATTTCGGTGATGGATGCGAGATCACCCGGGCAACGTGGAAGAACCTGGAGGAAGCCAGATTCTCTGATCTCAAATTGAGACACATCGATGCGCCGCTCTTCGTCTTGATGAAACCGCACATCGTAGGCTATGCTGTCAAATAGGTTGCGTGTCTGATCAGCTGTGTAGCACGCTTCCCTCGCAAACCAGTGTGTTAATATGCCAAGCATTGAACGCCTCTCCTCCCCTGTGTGATAAGATCACCACTTATATAGATAACACCAGTCACTTTAATACTAATTTTATTTTTGTATTGGAGAAAAAAAGTGTTGTTTTGTAAAGAAAAAGGACAACCTCACAGAGAAGGCACACAATACTAATTTTGTATACAGCTGAAGTGAGAAGTATATCTTGGTGTTTGTTCTTCATCTCCCACCTGCTTGCTGATAAACTGATGTAATCATAACAATAGGGGAATGTTGTCTACCTGTGTTTACCTGTGTGGGTTGATTTGTACCTTTTTTTGATATAAAAATTAGGTCACTTAAACATATATTTTTGCTGTGATTGAAGTGATTGTGTCAAAAATAAATAAAGGTTTTAAACCTGCAGCGCGTTGGCGTTTTTTTTTATTCCAAAAACGCGGGAGCACTTGGCCTGCTTGTTGACCCTCATGGAGACTCCAGTGTTTTTGCGCCGTTGTGTGGTTAAAGTGTGACACTGTTGGTCAGCATTAACAGTGTAATCTCTTGAGCTGCTAAAGTCGTGAACCAGCGAGGCTCTAATGAAGAGGAAGATGAGGTTTTGTCTCATGAAAGTGTGCAGGCTGCTCTGCTCGGCGTTGACTTTTCCTCTACACCTCATGGAGGCCACAGGCCTGTTCAAAGTGTACAAACGCCTGTTCCCTCTGCTCGCCTACAATATCACGTTTTCATACAACGACAAAATGCACAAAACGAAGAGGGAGCTATTTCGAAACGTCGCCAAATTTGCGGCAGAAGACGGCACGCTTCGCCTGCTGGAGATCGGCTGTGGCAGCGGGGCCAACTTTAGGTTTTACCCGGACGGCTGCACGGTGGTCTGCACGGACCCCAACCCGCACTTCGAGAGCTACCTGCGGATGAGCATGAAGGCAAACACGCACCTCACTTACGATAAGTTTATCGCTGCGTCCGGGGAGGACCTGAGAGTCGTGCAGGACGAGTCTGTGGACGTTGTCGTCTGTACTCTGGTCCTGTGCTCCGTCAGCAGCGTGCAGCAGGTGCTGACGGAGGCCCGACGCGTCCTCAGACCGGTGAGTCACTGCTGCTGCGTTCACGGCCAGTGGGACATTTGTACGTTCACACACAGGAGAGGCACAGTGCGGTACTCTAAAACACACACACACACACACACACTCACATGAAGCTTTGAAAATCTGATAGAAGCAGTGCCAGAGAAATACTTAAAATAATAATATTAATAATAATTGATGTAATTCTGTGTAAAAACTGTGAAAATACCAGCGACTATAGGGTATTTTCAGGTGATTTACATACAGTAAAGGTGTAATTTTATGGTCCCGCATTGTAAATCAACAACATGCTATTTTTTTAAAATGCAGATTTTTGGTGTGGATATTATTTCCTCATCTGGCTTATTACACAGCCAACCAGTAAGTTATTACTTTTTTTCCCGATGATTTTCAAAGATACAGTTGAAACCGGAAGTTTACATACACTGTGTTAAAAGACACATAACCTTTTTTTTCTCACTATCTGACATTAAATGTGACTAAACTTTTCCTGTTTAAGGTCAGCCAGGATTACCAAAATTATTTCTATTTGCGAAACGCCAGTTCTCACTGCTGCCCTCAGGAAAGAGGTACCGGTCCATCAAGGCCCGCACAACCAGATTCATCAACACGTTCTACCAGTGCAATACGGGTACTGAACGCACATCAGTCTCCATAGTCTTTCCTATTTATCACATATATTTGTTATTTGTACTATACTATACTATACTATACTATACTATACTATATAATTATATCATAATTACGTTTTAATTATTATTATTATACATGATACTGTATTTTGTATATATTTAGTACTTAGAATAATTATTTATTTCTATTATTTATATTTCTCATATATCCACAGTGTTCCTACCTCAACAGTGCAATATATTTATTCTGCTGTTGGTTACCTGTACATACTTCCTACTGGCTTCCTTTTGTAAATATTCATATTTGTCTTTTTATACTCTTACTTTTATACTTCAGCACCACTGGAGTTGTCTTTTAGTTTCGTTGTACCTTGTGTATGATGACAATAAAAAGCATTCTATTCTATAATGAGAGAGAGAATATTTTACAGATTTAAACATTGCCTTTAAACTGTATGACTTGGGTCAAACGCTTTGGGTTTCCTTCCACAAGCTTCTCACAATAGTTTAGTGGTATTCTGGTCCATTCCTCCTGACAGAACTGGTGGAACTGAGTCAGGTTTGTTGCCCGCCTTGCTCGCACACACCTTTTCAGCTCTGCCTACACATTTTCTGTGGGATTGAGATCAGGGCTTTGTGATGGCCACTCCAAGACATTGACTTTGTTATCCTTAAGCCACTCTGTAACTAAGGTCTCTTGCTTTTGTTCTGGGGTTGATACGTACATTTCCACCAAAACACATTCATCTCTGGGACATAGAACCGGTCTCCTTCCTGAGCGGTGTGATGACTGGACATCCCCATGGTGTTTATACTTGCGTATAATGTTTGAGCAGATGAACATAGAACCTTCAGGCAACTGGAAATTGTATCCGAGGATGACTTGTGGAGGTCCACAATTCTCATCCTGACATCTTGGCTGATTTCTTTAGATTTTCTACATGTTGTCACAAAAGGAAGCAGTGTGTTTGAGGTGTGCCTTAAAATACATCCACAGGTGAATGTATCCAATGAACTCAGATGTTGCCAGTTAATCTATCAAAAGCTTCCAAAGCCATGACATCATCATCATCGAGGCTTTCTCAAATAGTTTGAAGGCACAGTAATCTTAGTGTATATAAGCGTCTGACTAAAGAAAAGTAATTTTAAAAAAACTCTAAAAAATTCACTCATTATTCTAGCGTTTCGAAAGATAGAAATGAAGAGTTCATTTGCAAAAACAGATAACTCCATCTTCACAAACCTACAGAAAACCCACTTTTCCATCATCTACCTGAGACAATATCAATCAAACTTAAGTTATCTCTGTTTTTGTCATGTAAAAAATAAGAACATGAAAAAATAAGTGGTCTGCAAATCCACAAAAATGGAGGTATCTGTTTTTCAAGTGAACTCTTCAAATAATTTTGGTAATCCTAACTGACCTAAAACAGGAAACGTTTAGTCACATTTAGTGACTAATTCCGATAGTGAGAAAAAAAAGGCTATGTGCCTTTTTATACAGTGTATGCAAACTTCTGGTTTCAACTGTATTTGCAAAATAACTACTTACCGAAGCTTTAACATAGATGTAGCAGAGTACAGAGTGTATAATTTGCCTCTGAATTATAGTGAAGTAGAATGTAAATGCCTGAATAAAGTATATCATCATAGTACTTAAGTAATGCACATTTGTAAATGTACTGACACCGAACAAAAATGTAAACACGACATACAAAATATTTGTAAATTCTATCCATTATTTTTAGCAAAGGGGAGTAAGTATTTGCTGTTCTAACGTCCAACATCTAAACAGCAGAATGGACATAATGAATCAATAAAGTACGCGCCATATTCTAATTATCATAGGGGAAAATTAGAGTGCGGTCGTAAACAGAAATCACAAGTCAGTAGAAAGGTCACACATCTGCGACACAGAGAGTTAATGAAGTTGTTGATGCTGCTTGTAGAATGTTTACCCACTGACAAAAATGTCATTGAACCAGCTTCCTAAAAACAGGTAAAGTGCAGTGTTTTGGGGGCACCCTGGGTCCTCAAGCAAACTCCAGCTTCAGTCAATCAATCAGTCAGTCATTAGAACTGTATTTGTATAGAATCTTCCATATAGTTTATTGCAGTTCGAAGTTCTTGATGAATGATTGATAAGCCAAGGAGAGTGAGATTACCAAAGGCTACATAGACATGAAAACAAAATAATAAAAACGAGATATAGTTAGATTAATTTAGGCCTTAGCTGCTTGGTTGTCGAGCTTTTCTTATGGGTTAGCATAGAGAATATGAAAAGTGACATTTCAGGCCATTATGAGTAACCTAATATATTCTATTTCAAATATGTTGTGAATTTATTTTCAGTCTTTCTGTCATGGATTGAAACACTTTAGCAAATAATTCTTTAACACTGAAATAAAAGTATAAATGTCTCACAATAGCACAAATTAAGCTTCTGGGGTTGTTGAGTTCTGATGGGTTAAAGCCAGAAAACAAGAAAAGAAAGATGGGAGGGATCCTTTTGTTTTAAAGTAAACAGTGCACAGAAGTTCATATCATGTCTGTTTACATTTAAGACAGGTGATCTTGGTTTTCTCATCAAGGTGACCTTTAATATGGTCAACAAGTTTTTACATTCAACACGTATTGAGACATGTCTATTTTAGCATCACCATATAAGCCATACATTTCCTCTGCCACTGTTTGAGCTTCAGAGCTCTACCTCATAACAGTAGCAGTAGTAAAAATTACACAACCAGATTTGACCAAGCATAAGATAATCTGTTTTTGCTGGCTTTCTCTTTCAGGGCGGAGCGTTCTACTTTTTGGAACATGTCGTCTCAGATCCCTCCTCCTGGACGTACTTCTTTCAGCACGTGTTTGAACCTCTGTGGTATTATCTTGGGGACGGATGCACAATCACCAGAGCAACATGGAAAGACTTGGAGGCAGCCGGTTTCACTGAACTTCACCTGAGACACATCGAGGCTCCAAAGGTCACTTTAATGATAAGGCCACACATTATGGGATATTCTATCAAGTGACAGCAGGAAAGAATGTACAGTTTGTGTATTTACCTGAAGCTGAGTCATTAATCACTGACAATATATAACAGGCTGCTGACCAATAAGACATGCAGCCCTGTAGGTTTATGAGATTTGTTTACAATTTCATTTTCAATAAACATTAGCCACACTATTGAGTGAAAATATATTTATTTACTTACAGAATCAGCAACATTTCATACACTGTTTGTTCTTCTTTCCCACCCGTCCCATGATGTACATTAATAAATATTACCTGGACACTGTGCTTTTTCCCTGATTGTCTAAGTAACTGCCAAGAAATAACCAACAAACCACACTTAATGTCATCTTTTCTGTTACCCTTTATATTCCATTGCACAAAAATAAGGAATGACAATTGTAACATCTCCTTATAGGGAAATGAGGGGAATTGCTGGTTCACAAAATAAACAGAAATTATGTCTGTGTAGTAATTATACAGTCAGAATTCTGCAGATGCTGTTAGAATAATTTTTTTTTTTTTTAAAAAGTCCAACAGCAACATTTTTAAAAACACAAGAAAAAAAAGAGGAAAGGGATACTTTTAAAAACTGAGACTGAATGTTAAAGCTCACAATTTCAAATCTCCCAGTATTAAAAATGTACACAACTATAAATGTTATAGCATTAGCAAATATTTAAAAAACAGCAGGTGGAAAAATGGCCAATTTGTTTTTTTCATTTCTTGAGTAAATCTCACTGCCATAAGTCACTTTTATATCAAACAGAGTAAAAAAAAAAAACAAAAAAAACCTGGAGAATCTCAGCCTGAAATGAAGTGTTCCCAGAAACCCCATCATGTCCAAATGGCTGAGCTGTGCCACTGCCGCACTATGTCTCTATCCTCCTCCTCTATTCAGACACATTATCCTGTTTTAACACAATAAAGATCCTTTAATGTTTTGAGTTCTTCGATCAGAGTCTTGTTTTGGTTCTCAAGAACAGCTACGCGGTTTTCCAGGCATTTAACGTATTCCTTTTTCTTTCGTCGACATTCACGGGCTGCCTCTCTGAAACGGGGAAAAACATGCAGTTAGTCCAACTGAACGACAAACAAATGCTACTTCAGCACATCACAATGTAAAGAGTATTACAGATGTGACATAAACCCTTTTCAGACACGGTCATATGTAACATTACTGGCTTCATCAACCGGTTAAAGAGACGGCATTCTGTCTTTCAGCTATAGGTCACTTTTGTGTTTCTGTTCCTCACGGTTTCATTCAGACTGAGAGCCATGGCACGCTCATGTTATTTGTCCTATGAAGCAGCACATCAAGTTATGTGTATTAGACAGGAATCCTCCAAAAAACTAATAAACCAATAGCAGGCTTATCAAACAGTCCAAGTAAATAACTGCCTAAAGTTTTAGGATTCCTTGTGTCCAGAGTGTTCATTTATGAAACATTCACAGATCCTGACAGATTAACAGAAAGGAGTGCACGTCTGAAAGGGGCTGTAAACTTTCAATTAATATGATAGGAGGATTTTGTTAACCCCTATCAGTCAAAAGCTCCAATATCAACAGGAAAATAAATGTGTTTACCTATTAAGATATTTTAAAACTTGTTTTTTTTATCATGAATTGAAACTTTTTTAAATTTACGTCTCATTTGTTTAAAAGCTGTCCTGTGTTATACAAGACTTCTCCATTCAGAAGGACAGGGAGCCTTTCCTCTGACTTTTACCAAGAAATACATTTAGCATGTACCTGTTTTTTGCAAGCCTGATTTCTCTTTTCATTGTTGGATCATCACTCTTACTCTGGGACAATCCCACAGGAGAGGTCATTACTACAGTCTGAGGCAGGGAGGTGGATGTGGGCGCTGTGCGGATCTGGTATGTTTGCACCTCTCCGCCTGCACCTGAGTGAAACGCAACAGTCAAAGAATGAGAACAGAGGTCAAAAGAGTTCTGCCACAAAATGTCACCACTTGAGAGATGTTACTTATTAAGTTTAGACCAGAATTTATTCGTTGATGATAGCTACGTACAGTGTTAGAGTACACTGAGAGAAAAGTGTCATTTGACTTGGTAAATATTTTTCTCTTTTTCTATCGTTCTACCTTCAAAACAGAGAAGACATTTTTGAAACCTGCGTGAACACAATTTACATTTATACAACACTTTTCAAAACAAAGTTGCAAAGTGCTTTACATGTTTGAATCAACATTAAAACATTTCAAAACAGAGGCAAACAGAATTAGGAAATTAAAGGCTGTTAAAAAAAAACCCAATACAATAAAAATGCAATTGAAAAATAAATAGGGCTATGAATATTCTAAAAGGGGCATTAACTAGTAATCAGTGGATAAGAACATGCTTCTAAAAATAAAGATGCTTTATATTAATTCAACTGCAATCAAATCATGTTGTTGGAAGCTAGGTACCTACAAGTCAAGTCACATTCCAACTGGAATAGCACTGCATCAAAGGAAAAATCAATACTGTGTTGGGCAGTGAGTAGATAAAGTTTATCAGGCACAAAGTCAACTGACAAAAGTTTATACTGCTTATTCTTTGCAGCTGGATTTTTACAAAGTTGCCATGGAGGTAGTGTTGGTCATCACTCTTGACAATTTGTACATACTGCTACATGAAGAGAATAGACTCAGATCCTTAAAATGCAGGACAAAGAGGCTGAGAAACAGTTGTTATCCAAGGTCCATCAGACTTCTGAACTCAAAACAATAAGATTTTACTTTTACTTTTACTAACGCTGCTTATGTGCAATCTCCTGCCCATATTTATTGTCATTTATTGGTTTTTATTTGATCTCATTACCTCCTCACTGTAGTGGATATATCTTGCCTATTTTGCATATGTTGGAATTCTTAATATGGTCTTGTTTTACATGTACATTTGATTTTATTATTTATGGTTGTTAATTTAGCTTGTTAAATGCACCGTCCTGAGGCAGCTACTTATATTATTGCCATGCCCCCATGAATGATGACAATAAAGCTATTCTATTCTAGGCTTCTATTCTATGATGCTGAACTGTGCTGCATGAAAGTTGTACCTGGACTTACTTTTTTGATTAACAACCCTTTTTGTCAAAGCCTTTAGAAGCAGCACAGCCTTCTGTCACTGGAATACATTTGGGGAGAGCCTTTTTGTGAAACTGTGTGTTGTTTGTTGGAATATAGCTGACCACACTTTTGTAAATGCTCTATTAAAAGGACATTGTTATCAGATGAATGTGGCTTAAAAAATAGTAAATTCAATCAGCTCACCTTGTACAACAACCTGATTGCTAGGCACCAGGATCTGCTGGCCGTCAGGTGTTTGGGCATACTGAAGGATGGTGGTGCCTTGCTGGGCTCCACCAGAGTTGGCCATGGCAACAGCCTGTAGTCCCTGAATGCCTTCTGACCCTGGAGCTGCCAGCTGGATTGTGCCATTTGCAGCTATGGTAACTGGAATAATCACACAGATGACATCAGAAAAGGGCATGGCACAATTAGATATTACATCCCTGCTGGATGAATTGTAAGTCTGGGTACTGTGACGACTTTTCTTTCAACAATTTTAAAAAACTCTTACTCCCTTTTTGGGCCACATTTCTCACCAATAGCTGATAAGTTTCCAGTATAAAGCTCTGTCTGGTAAAAGCATACTAACATGAAAGCATACCAAAAGCAATCATTCGTAATTATCATGATCATCTTATTTCCTGTGGCAGAAAACCAAAATGGCTTACATCAAAGTAATTACAAATTCACAACCTTTGAAGACATCCACCACTTTGATGTCCGCTCCTTTCTATGCAAGTGGAATACAAGGGAAGTTCTTACTGTACTGGCCGCTGCTGGTCTGGTAGATTGGGGTGGTTGGTACTGTAACACCTGTCACTCCTGTGGATGCCGGGCTGTTATCCTTTCCCTCAATGTGTACCACTTCCTCAGATGAAAGGTCATTTAGGATTTTCCTGCAAGGTGAGGCAATAAAGGATCCTGGAATCACTACTAATCAAACAAGATCTGTGCTCATTCACTGTTTTCTAAGTTGTTGGCTTACCTGTATGAGGGCCGTCGTGCCAGTATTTCTCTGGTCTTGTGGGGTGTTGTTCCACTGTCAGAGGAGTCCTGTGAATCTTCACTGTCTGAACCCTGTGCCTTGGAAGGTGGATTAACAAGTGCATGAGTATTTGTATAAAAAAACAAGGAGATGAACTGAACCGAGGCTGAGTTTTAAAATCAGCAACTACAGTGCCAAGAAAACCAGCTGGTCTGACCTGTGCAGTCTGTCCTTGAGGGGACTGAATGACTGACGACTGTGCAGACTGGATCACTCCTTGAACCTGAAACTGACCCCCTGGCAGTTGTACAACGGTCACAGAAGAACCACCCAGTGACATCTAGAAAAAAGAGACAATTTCAAATTGACAAAACACTGTACTTGTAGTTGTCATAGTAGCTTGCTTTTACTGTATGCACATAAAGGTGAGCTCAGAAGCACACCACAGCGTCACTGTGGTTTTTAAAAAAGGCATAAAAGAAAGATTTCACCCACAATACACACAACGTGTTTTCTTTACCTCTACTGGTGAGATGCTATTGTTTTATGTGCCTTGGAAGGAGGTATTGACCAATTCTAGTGCCAATCTAACATATTGAAAGTAGATTGAAAATTGGTGCAGTGCAATTTTAAAAATTTTGAAAAACTTTGCAACAGCATTTCTTTCAGGATTCAATGTCCTGGTCATTTGCAAAACACTGAAAAAAATGAGTCGGTATAATGGTGCTAAGTTTTTGTTGTTACTTTTTCAAATAATTTGAGCATCCTAAACACAATCCATTCCCCACTGTAGACAGCAATTCACTGTAATTTTCTACTATCCTACAATTTCATTTGGCAGACGCTTTTATCCAAAGCAACGTACATCTGAGAGTATCTTCAAGGTGAATATCTAATGAATCCAAAATTATCTGTAGGACTAGATATCACATGCTGGAAATGGAAATTTTGGGTGCTTTGGTCCCTAAAATTCTTTTTTTTTTTTTTTTTTTGGAGCCTACGAACTATAAACATGTCATATAAATAAGCAAACTATGCATTTTGTCACACAATTACATGTGCTCATTTGTTCTCATTTAGAGGAATTGATTAGAATTTATGTGTTTGCGATTTTGAAGCAGCTTTGAGTCTATTACAGTTGAGAACTACTGACTTATTACATGCTGTGAACTCAGACAAGAACTTAGTCCTTCAGGTACTTACTGCTTCCTACTGTCAAAATAAGGATTAAAATTGCTTCTGACACATCAACAAGAATCAAGTAAAGACAATGACAGAGGCGCAAGACTCAACCAAACAAACCAATCACACTAAACCCCAGAGTCACTTATTATTTTGTTTAAGGATTTTCATTCATTTCTTAAATGTTATTCTGTATAACAGCAAGAGTTGTTTTTTTTTTTTTAAACAACTCGCAAGGTAATTAAACTGTAATTGCAGTTGTTTTAAGCCTTAGATTTGTACTATCAACATAGCATTAATAAATGGATTTGTAGTGTTAGCAGCACAAAGAGCTACTGTGGTAATGTACCATGGCAGTACTTCAGAGACACTCTATAATGGTGTTTTGAATGGGATCTACTAGTTACCTGTTGGGCTATCTGTGAGAACTGAGAGGTTGTGATGGTAGTGGGAATGGTTGCAGCCTGTGACTCTGTGCCATTGCTGCCCTGCTGTACTTCTTCCATAGTAACTGAGAAGAAATAAATCAATATTACTGTCT